AGCAGCAGAAGGCGTCGCCGCGTCGCCCGAGGAGCCCAGGCCGCCCGCCGTCGCCGCCCTCGCCGCCGCCATGGCCGCCCTCGCCCTCGCCGCCCTCTGCGCCGTCGCCCTGCTCGCCGCCGCCCCCGCCCTCGGGTGAGCTCAACTGCTAACAGCAGTGCGTGTTCTGTCACGGGAGGCCCCGAGCGCACCTTCGTACACGATATCTTGCGGGGTTTCCCCACCAGCGGGTACCGCCCCGGAAGGGACAAGCTCTAAGCCCCCGACACACGTGGCGCGCATGTGTGTGCAGGTAAGGTGTGAGGGTGGAAGGAAAGATCGCGCGCGGTCCGTGGCCCGTTTGTTTGGGCACTGCTCCGGCACTTACTTGGTTTTGATCAGAGAACTCACGTAAAACTGCCGATCAGAGATGCCGGCCTCTAGACTTCTCCTCCAGACAGCGGCTGCATTCGACCTCTTTATCTAGCTACTCGTAGTGTCAAAAATCCAACCGCCGTCGCTTTCGACTCGAACCGTGGAGCCTCCCGGCCAGAGGGCTGCAGTGGCCTCAGATGCCGTGAAACACGCTGAATGTCAAACACTTGAACAACGCATCTTTGATAACGATTTAAGTTAGGTTATTGTACAACTGAGCCTAACAAGACATTAAAACAACACATGTTTTATTTCTCTCCCCCTAATCACTTCACCTTATTTAAGGCATCAGATACGCTCTCAAAACGGCACAAAAGGAACAAATCGCACCACAAGCATCGCGAGGGAGAAAATGTTCAAAAGAGACATCAGGAGAGAGGTAGTCAAACTGCATGAAATATGTACCGCACAATGAAGTATGAGCGATTTTCAAGTACACATTACGTCGCGTGTGGACCGTCAGTTTGGTGTACCGAAGAAATTGCGAAAACATGACCGCGTAAACGGATTAACGGCTAAGCATCATTTCTCACCCAGAGTTCAGAGTGCGAGTCCCGACGGAGCCAGATTGTCCTCACAAGCTCAAATATGCCTAATACAGCCAGTGTCCGGGGACAATTGTAGCGGCCGCGCTTTCTCCCAGACGAATGGCGGCAGTGCGGCCCGCGCTCGCTCTCGCCCTCCCCTCCCCCCTTGTAAGCGAGCACCGCACCACCGCACGACCGTCGGGAGTACAGAGCCCCTTCTGGGTGAAGCGGTAACCCGTTGGGGGAGATAACTGGACAATGGAAACCCCCAAAACGACGTGTACGTCGTCACCGTATCTCACGTTCTAACGAGGAAGAATACAACCCCTCCGGAAATACAGCAAGCACTACACTTACAAGATCAATGGCCAACGTATTTCTCGCATCCGGGAACACCAGTCACCCTAAATTATCTGAAAGCATTGTTGTCGCTTTAAAATACTTCAAATACTCAAAATACTGTAATAAATTTGTATTCTACATATTTTTATTGCAAAAATATATTGTAATCGTCAATTACAGTAAATTAGTTATTCACAGTCATGCAAATATCTGAAAAATATCTGTTGTAGCAATATGTATAAACATTTTTAAATATAACACGAAATTAAAAATGTCTAACACAGAGAAATGGAATTTCCTTTTCAAACTACTGAATTTTCACACAGATCATCAGACCATACACCCCTAGTTGGCAAATGTATAAAACCAGCAAAGCAAAACAGTCATTCAACTGGTATGGATGAACATGTGTTATAACGAACATGAACTAGTGTTATAACGAAGAAACGCTTTTTTATTGCCAGATAATTGTCCAGTTCTTAAATGACTTGGATTTATCGTTTAAAAATGAAGAGAATCCAAGTTCAACAGGTGAAAGGCGCTTTTATTTTTGTTTCAATGAGGTTCACTAACGGAATCAAACAAAAATAAACTATCCTCGTTCTAAACAATCTTCTTCTTCGTCGTCTGCATTTTAAGTAGTTCTTTTTTTTAAATACATCTCTAAAATACATGCCCAAAAACTCAAAAATACAGTTTTTCAAACACAAAATGTATATAAATATGTCTTTCAAATGCAAGTATTTAAATACTGTCCAACCCTGACGCAGAGATGTCCTGTTAAGCTTTGGAACATCTGGTCACCTAGTTCCATGACGAAAAGTCCTTTTACATTTTTCCGTTCCTTCTGTGTATAAAAAGATTTGCACTTACATCTGCTTGGTACAACATTCAATTTCTTATGATAAATTCTATTGCTATTCAGTAAATTGCTTCCTCTAACAGTTCGTGTAGCCAGAGGCGGATCGATATTATTTTGCTAAATAATAAACATTTGTTATATTTTTTGTAGTGTTTAATGATACTACATGCCCTCGGTGGCCCCGGGTTCGATTCCCGGTCGGGGCGAATATTAATTGTGCGCTTTCCTGGCAATGTCTCAGAATCTGTTGCTGTGTGACTATGAGAAAGCTCACACTTCTGGTTGAGAAGGGCAGAGATAGGCGTAGGAGCTGGTATGTGCTAACCACACGCGTCCCTTCACCCGACGCTCCTGGTAGCATGAGCTCGTGCATACCCGTACACATGGTACTATACAATATTATATTTTAAGCAATAACACAATTCTCACATAAATATTTAAGTAAATTTGGCCAAATAAAACAACGTAAACGAAATCTCCAGAGCATTGCTCCCGTGTCTCTCTCCCTGGATCAGCCACTGTGTAGCCAGAATCAGTTTTGTGGGTCCTTGATATCGAAATCTCGATTGACGGCGAGACGCCTGTGGTGAACGTAAGCGCGTGCCTGACCCATTCAAAGAATTTTCTTCGAAGATAACATTCCCCAATCGACCCTCGTTGTGCAAGCCTTGGGAATGATTCCTTGTTTGTGTTTGCAAGTGTGTTGCTTGGCTGTGCGCAGGCGCGCGTCGCCGCCTCGTCCCCCGGGCCGCTCCACCGCCGCCGCCGCCGCCGCCCGCGCCACGCCCACCCACCCGCCGCTGGTGAGCCACTCCGCATGGCGGCGCGTTCACACGAGTGCCATGGCATGGGCATTCAAGAAGATTGGACAGCGAGCAGTTCTCAGTGGCGCTGATCGCCGGCCCCCGCGAGAGAGCCAGAGCCCGCGCAGCGCCACCCGGGCCACGACGCGCCGTTTCCTTCCTCCGGGAAGGCATTTCCACATCTCCTTTGACAGGTGCACACTGTCCAATCTTCTTCAAAGCCCACATCGTAATAGAGCCTATGTTTCTATCACTTCTAAGGTTCATATTCCAGGTGTCATTATGTCTATTACTTTTTTGGATTTTAATTCTTTCCTTTCTTGTAACGTGACAACACCGCCTCCAATATTCCATTTCTGTTCCTTGGATCCGACTTCTATCCCTAGCTTTAATAGTCCATAACTCAGCTCCATATGTGAAGACTTTCAACTGATGTTTTACACAATCTATTTTTTGTGTTTCTTTTTATGTTTGAATTCCATTTCAAAGGATGCAAATATCTTCATACCTGCTTACCTCTATTTGTTTTGTTTAGAACATATTTGCTATCATGACCATCATTTGTTAAAGTTACACCCAGAAGAGCGATGTAAGAACTAATTGTGAAACTGGAATTGGCATTTTACCGAAACTAACATTTCATTTTCTACAGTAAAAAATAACAATCTTCCTATAATTATTTTAATTTGTGTTGTAGATGAATACGAGTCATGATCAATATCGAATTGCAACCTGACCTTTAAAACAAACGTGTTGTGCTTGTTTCGATTGCAACTTTATCCCAAAATGTACTCAAAAGAAATCTATGCTTTTTATTCCTTTAGTCCTATAAAAGTCCCTCGCCAGAAGGAATTGTACCTTTGGAAATGCAATACGCCACTTGCGGCAATCAGATTTAGTTACTAGCAGCGCAGATCTACCAATGCGTTTCCTCCTATCTACATCCGCAGCGCTGTCAACGTTCTGATCATCGCTTGGCTTGCCGAATGTCGCGGCTGCAATTTAAAAGCACAAGTCATGACGTAAACAATGGCGACTTCGTCAAATGATTAGGTGTTTGTTACAAAATTTAGAGGATAGACTTTTAACTTTAATTAACAAATAATTTGAAAATAAAACATCTCCATTTCTTAAAATTATTTCACAATAAGTAGGGTAAAGTCGCGTAAGATGACGATTGTCAAGTATTATGATTAATTTGATTAATATTCCCCAATCGTCATTGAATGACATTCTATTGTTTTTACAAAAACTCTCGCAAAAAAGCAATTTTGTGATCTTGCTCTCGCATGGACATAAGCTGACGTGCTGGCGTAGGTAAAATGACAACTTAATAAACTGAATTCATTACTGTATTTTAAGCACAGAATCCAGTCTTGGAAATTAGGTTTGCTTGCTGTGTGCCTAGCTCATGCAGACAAGAAAATTGTATATTTTAGCAGTAAAAAAATAACCCGAGGGATCAGTTCACAGATTTATAATTGTTTTATTTTTCATTTTCAATAGCAAGCATTTTTTAAATGGTTCTTTCTCAACCGTTCCATTTAATTTATTTTTACGAGAAGGAAAACCCCTTCAGGTAGGCAATTTGCCACACACGCGCGTCGCAATGTTGCATCGCAGGTAGGCGCGCGCGGTCACAAGCGAAGAAAGGTCATCTGTACTCTGCAGTTATTGCCATTGAAAGTCAGATGTAGAGCAAATTCAAAAAGTAGATTTACCCGAGTGTAGCGCGTGAGACCAGTTTAGGGATACCTGCTCACTAGGCCGTTACACGTTGGGACGTCTTCCATTTGTTACGTTTAGCGTTCCTGATAGACACCGCGACAAACCAGCATGCATGCTTTATCCGACAATAACTGAAACGTTTATTTCCAAACTCCAGTACTACCACGAAATTCAGTTTTTTATGAAGAGAAAGTATTCATCCTCACAGTCCAACGTAGGACTCAATGATTTTCGGATAACGTTTATTTATAACCTAAGAGAAAGGCCATTTAGCGCAATATTTTGCAGCACGACGACGAACCGTCATAGGAACACATTGGCACAAAACCAGGAAGCAAAGGGACCTGTGACTTCGCCAGTTCTCCAACGCAGTCGCGAAGGTGCTCCGTGCCGCTGTGAAACCCGCCAGAGCCCTGCGAAAAGCTCCCGAGTTCACGCACGTTGACGTTTCTTTGTGTTCTCCTTCCATAATAGTGCATTACGAAACGATGATGAGATTATGGGAGCTGACACACGAGTGTGAAGTAAGTTAACGATATGAGCGAGTATCCTAAACTTCATACCGGTGTATTTACCCAGTACCCATTATATCGAGTTTCATACTGTACTTTTCCAATACCTAGTAATAGCTATTGTATGATAAACGTTTACACTGAAGGGCCACGTGGTCCAAATAGATGGCATGCAATGTGCAACCAATACCTAGCGAACATAAAGATCTGAGAGGCGGCTTTGGTTAAGCATAGCAACCGTCCGACTTCGAGCAAGACTCGAGGCAAGTTAGGATTCAATTTAGTAACGAAATAACATGAAAGTTGAGTGTCTGTTCTTATTCTTATCAGCTTAATAATTGATACAGTCATCACATGGGTTTCAGCCTCGTGATTTCCTTCTGAGATTTGGAGACGGGATGAAATTTACAATTCCCTTCCAACGGGCTGTCTCGTCACAGCAATATCCACAATACAACGATACATTTGACAGAACCAATCACTCATTACCTAATCTCCTCTGTAATTGGCCACTACCTTGGCTATAAGACGCCGTGCCATAATGCTTAACGATCGCATTTTAATGCAGTAAAAACTCCAAAACGTGCAAAAAAATGCAATAAGAAGATCAAGATTTGCATAACGGTTTTATGTAGCATAAGAAACCCAGTTAATCCACATATCAATTTATTTTTATATTTTAAAAGTATGAATGAAATATTTGAAACTGTGAATGAAATATTATTATTTTAGGGTTTTTATTACTATTAAGTTTTTACCTATTGTTTACACAAAGTTTGACGCTTTAAATGACTCGCACACAAATTTAAATTTGACATAAAAACACTAAAAGTAAATTCAAAACTAGAAAAATACAAATATACTCTCAGAAATCAAAAATAATTAAGTAACAGAAATTATATCTTCTGTCTACTAATGTTTCAGAGAGGGAAAACTTCGTTATATACTTGTCCGTGTGCCGAACATCACTCTGGCACGTTGCTAAAAGCTGTCTGAAACTGGTTTCCTTCTCTCTTGTTGAATTGAATTTGAAAAGTTAAATGTGACTCGCACATGCAGCCTCGTTAGGTAAGTTCAGCAAAGACTGACAACGCGGATGTACGGTGCGACTGGGCGCTTGGGGCGATGGCGCAAACACAGCCCCACATCCCGCAGACGTAGCTCGGAAACCTTAACTAGGCAATAGGCATCGCGGAAGGTTCATAGGGCAACAAAATACAAAATCGACTCTTGGGCTGCACAGACCACCCGAATGCGCTGCTGGGCTACGTCATAAAAACTTTTATACTTAGATGGACTCTTTAAAAAGATAAATTAAAACAAGTTAATAATATAAAATATTCTACGCAATAAAACGATAGATCTTGCAAAATTTGTCCAGTAAAATCTCAATTTTCAGGCAGCATTATCTAAAACGTGCAAAAAAAAAAAAAAAAAAAAAAAAAAAAAAAAAAAAAAAAAAAAAAAAAAAAACTAAAATAACGTCTGTTTCATGTTGCAAATTTCTGTCGAGGTTTCATCCAATTTCAAATTAGCAAAGAAAGGATGCAGTAACACGAGAATCTTTGTCTTCACAAATAGCCATCATTTCGCAAGGCTGCAGGAATGCAATACGAGTAGGAGCCTCTGATTGTCTTAATCTCTACCTGTAGATGGTTACCTCTGCTTGTTGATCCGTTAACACTTCAACGAAACTTTCACCTCCTTGTATGATACGAGCTACTTTTCTTTTACTGAATCCTCCGCATATTTTTCAGCTACTCAATTACCTCTCCGTGCTCTTTAAATCTGCACCTACATGAGCTAATAATATGGCCGATGTTCTACGGAATAAATACCGTGTACATTGCAAGAGTTGGTAAACCAACGGTTTTCATTGGTATTCCCTCAATAGTATCGATTCCAAGTCTTGTATAATACATGTCCTGAAAAGATTTCTTTGAGTTATGTTTATGGGTTTCGATTCCACGTACTTTCTGAAAAACTGTTCAAAAATTATCAAGTCAAATTTCTGTTGTTTCTTCAACACTTTCTAATTAATTTTTCTCCGGTTTTCACGATTCGCTGGTCACCCTTAATTCAAAACCCCTCACTACGCTCTTAGAATGTTTATTTAAGCCCATGTAAACCAAATATTTTGTTTTTATTTCTATTGTTAGAGACGCTTCTTAAACGTCTTTATGTAATGCTGCTCTAGTCCCTCTTCATCACTTGCGGGTTAAACCCTTTTAATCAATGCCACGTAAGGGCCAGCCAGCGGTGTGGTTCGCAGGTGCCCGAGGCGCCGGGGCTGCTGGTGATGGACGTGGACGCGGGCGCCGACGACGCGCTGGCGCTGCTGCTGGTGCTGCGGCGGGAGGCGCTGGCGCCAAGCGCCGGCCTGCGCCTGATCGCCGTCACGTGCACGCACGGCAACACGGCCCTCGCCCACGTGCAGCGCAACGTGCTCAAGACGCTGCACCTCGCGGGCCGCCTCGACGTGCGTGACACCCACCCACTCGCAATATATATATATATATATATATATTATTTATATATAATTAATATATATATATTATATCAAATGTTTAAAAGTATAAAGCCTGACCCGTGCGCACATTCCGCATTTGTAAACCATTTATACATCAAACTCATGAGTTTTCATTTACAAAATAATAAATTTAAAAAAGCAAATTCCGCCTCAAATTTCATGAGATTTTCTCGCAATGAAACGTACCAGTCCTGTGTCATCTCATAGAGAACATTTCGCACTATCCCTACCAAAAGTATATAAAAAGATTCGGAGCCGTTTTTAAGAAAATCTTGTTTTTGTATTTTTTTAAAATTGCAAATATTGCGCAAAAACTACTAAAAGTTTCAAAAAATGTACATGACCGTAACGAAAGAACTAATTATGGACAACAAATTTAATTTGAATGAAAAACTTCTATCTTTAATTTTGTAGTTGTAGGAAGACACCGAAAAAAATTCTTTCTTTTGCGATTTTCGAAAATCCAGAGTTGACCGTGAAAATCGGACCTATGCCACTTTTATAAGTGTATGTTACTCTAGCAATACTAGAAATTTAAACCCAAAAAAATGGTCTCGTTTTTGAGAAAATTTTGAAAATGTCCGGAGGGCTTCACGTAAAGTACCCCAAAGTTTAAAAAAAATGTTTTTCAAAATCTCAAATCTCACTTGAGCCAGATGGACAGGGGTTTCTTCAACGTGGGAAAAAATCTACGCACGGTTTCGGCGCTAGTAGACTGACAACAGACGGACGTTTTGCCGTCAATTGATTTTTCTGTGCCAAGGGCTGCAAGACAGGGATTCCGGCTACACCACGTGTTACAGAACTTTTTTCTTTTTAATTTAGCAACTGCAGTTATTCACTTTTTCCTTATCATGGCCCGGTAATGAAATTTTTTCTGCCGAAAATCCGCCGGTTTTTTCGCGCAGCATTACAAAACTTTCCCGATACTACGTATATTACTCCGATATCTACATATGTATACGGAAAAGTAAAAATATAACAATTGTATCGAACGACAACGGATTTTTATACTGAAAACTAATGGTTCTAAAACACATACTTTTTCGCTTTATTTCTGTCTTTTTAAGTCCTATCCTCTACTCGCGGAAAACATTTTGAGCCGTTTTGTGAAAATAATTATTTAACAATTGTCCATATTTCACGCAAAACTATTTGCACTTTAGAAAAATTGTACGTGATCTTCCAAGATGCCTTTGAACAATAGATTTCATTCAAGAAAACAAATCTATCTTTGAAGTTCTGAAATTTCAACCAAACGTAGACCGGCCCCATTTGTTATGCATCTCTACCCGAGGGTACAGTTTAATAAAAAAAAAGTCGAACATTGTCTCTATTCGTGCTAGAGAGCGATTTATAACTTGTTATTTATGCACACAGAATGACATGTCTGGTTACATCTTGTAGTTAATATCATAGGTTTCACTAATAATATTAAAATATGAACTTACACAACAAACAAAATGAATGGCCACATATCACGAATTAACATTTTCTAAAGCATAAAATTTCTACCAAAATTTAATTTTTAAATTTCCCATTACTTGCAATTTGCAACTATCACACAATGTCTCGTTCAAATCGCTGTCATTGCTTTTGTTCTTTGCAGATTCCTGTATTTTCTGGGGCATCAGATTCTTTAATTTTGACACCACCTTTGGATAATTATTTTGGCAAAGATGGATTTGGGGATTTTGACTATGAAAATGCTCCTGATCCTGCAGAAGCTTTGGAAAAAGAGCATGCTGTGAATGCACTGACCCGACTCGCAAGAGAGTATCCTGGTATTACTTTCATTTTAAGACAACATACTTCTTTATGAATTAATTTCAGAAAAAACAATCAACTTGAAATTATTGGCACTAATTTAATTTCTAATTTTTCCAGGACAAATTACCGTTTTAGCAACAGGCCCTCTAACAAATTTGGCTCTAGCTATTCGAATGGATCCAGAATTCCTTAATAATTTGAAACAACTTGTCATTATGGGAGGGAGCTCTGATGGTAAGCAGAAAGCAGTCCTTTTCTATTTCGTGTTTTTAAAAAATCTTGCAAAATATCTACTACAGTTCAAAGCACCAAAAATTTGAGAATTACAACTTTGCACATGTCATCGCAGTAATACATTACACACCTGAAGTGTGTAGATTGTGGTTCTCACCCATATATCACACAGTTTTTACTGTTCTTGGATGAAAATAAGTCAAATCGCTTATCTCTATGCTGACACTAATTCCAAAAATTGACCAAAATATCGAAATGTTTCTTCTTATGTTTTGAAACTATATATATATATATAT